GTATCATAATTTAATAGGTCCAGAAAACACATTTAAAAAATTGTAACACCCATTCGTGATTTTTTAAAGCACTCTCAAAAAACCAGGAATAGAAGGAATCTTCTTTGATCTGATAAGGAGCGCACAGACATGCATGTGTGCATAATATACACAACCAACATCATGTGTAATGGTCAAATACTGAACATGATATACTTGAGGGCAGGAAACAGACAAGTGTCTTATCCTGGAGGCCCCAGTCAATGCAGTAAGGCAAGAAAAATAAATAAATGTATAAAGATCAGAAAACTATAAAGAATAAAATGATATAAGGACTGAGCACCTAGAAAAGTCCAGATACTTAACAAACTATTAGAATAATAATCATTGAGCAAGGATACTGGATATGAGAACGATATAAAAAAAATCTACTGTATTTCTAAAGATCAACAAAATTGACAAACTTTTAGCTAGACTAACAAAAGTAAGAGAAGACTCAAGTAACTAAAATCAGAAAAGAAACAGAAGACTTTACGACTGATGCCACAGAAATAAAAAGGTTTGTAAGAGAATACCACAAATAATTATACACCAACAAACTCAATAATGTAGAAGTGGATAAATTCTTAGAAACATACAACCCACCAACACTGAGTTATGAACAAATAGAAAATCTGAACAGACCTATAAATAGTGAGGAGGTTGATTCAGTGACCAAAACTGTCACAGCAAAGAAAAGCCCAGGACCAGATGACTTCACTGGTAAATTCTAGCAAACATTTTAAGAAGAATTAATGTCACTCCTTCTCAAACTCTTTTGAAAAATTGAAGCTAAGAGAACAATTCCAAACTCATTTCATGAGGGCAGCACTATACCGATATCAAAGCCAAAGAAAACTCCAAACCAATATCCCTGATGAATACTGATGCAAAACTCCTTGATAACATACTAATAAATGGAATCCAACAACATATTAAAATGACTATATGCCACAATCAAGTAGAATTTGTCCCTGGGGTGCAAAGATGATTCAGTATACAAAAATACACCACATTAATAGAGCAAAAGACAAATCACATGATCATTTCAACTGATGTAGAAAAGGCATTTGACAAAATTCAACATCTTTTCATGATAGAGACATTTAACAAGCCAGAAACAGAAGGAAATTATCTCAACCCAAAAAAGGTCATATATGAAAGGCCACAGCTAACCTCTTACTCAGTGGTAGAAAACTGATGGATTTTCCTCTAAGGTCAGGAACAGAGCAAGAATGCCCACTCTCACCACTCCTATTTAATGTAGAAGTATAAGTCCTAGTCAAAGCAATTAGGAAAAAAAAAAAAAAGGCAGTCAAATTGGAAAGGAAGAAGTAAAATGATCTCTGTTCATAGCTGACATGACCTTATATAGAGAAAACTCTAAAGATTACACACACACACACACACACACACACACACATTAATTAACAAATACATTAACAAATTCATTAATTAACAAATTCACAAATTAATGAACAAATGATATAAAATCAACACTCAAAAATCAGTTGCATTTCTATAGGTTAACAATGAACAATTCAAAAGGAAATTAAAATAATATCATTAATAATAGCATCAAAAACAATCAAATATTTGGGAAGAAATTTAACCAGGGAGGTGAAAGACTTGTACTCCAAAAACCACAAAACATTGCTAAAAGAAATGAAAAGGAAGCACAAATAAATGGAAAGACATCCCATGTTCATGGATTGGAAGACTTAATACTAAAAATGCCCACAGCAATCTACAGATTCAAGGCAGTTTCTGTCAAGATCCCAATGGCATGTTTTGCAGAAATAGGTAAAAAAACCATCCTAAAATTCACATGGAATCTCGAAGGACTCTAAATAATCAAAACAATCTTTGACAATGAAGAACAAAGCTACAGACCTCACACTTCCTGATTTCAAAACGTATTACCAAGCTACGGTAATCACTGTAGGTATAGACATAAAGGCAGACAGGCACATACTGCTGTATAGACAGACAAAGTAGGTATTGACATAAAAGCAGGCATACAGATCAATGAAGCAAAATAGAGAACCCGGAAATAAACCTTTGCATGCACGGCCAATGAAGAAAGGACTCTTTCTTTGAAGAACTCCTTCGGTGAAGAAGGACTCTTCAACAAATGGTGCTGGGAAACCTGAATGTGAAGCATGGACTCTTCCCTCATATACAGAAATTAACTTAAAATGGATTAAAGACCTATAGGTAAGCCTTGAAACTATAAAACTTCTAGAAGAAAACATAAGGGAAAACTTCAGAACATTGGGCTTGGCAATGATTTCTTGGCTATGACACTGACGAGAAAGACGCAGACAGCAAAGCAAACGTAGGCAAACAGGACCGCGTTAAAAGCCTCTGCGAAGCACAGGAAATAATCAATAAGGTGAAAGGACAGCCTAGAGAATGATACCAAATATTTTGCAAACCATATACTGAATACATTCAGAATTATGAACTCCTACCATTCAGTAGCAAAACAAAACAAAACAGAACAAATGGCCCGACTGAAAAATGACTAAAGGTCTTGCATAGATATTTCTCCAAGGAAGATTGAAAAACATGGCCAGAAGGTGTATGAAAAGATGCTCAATGTCATTCATCATCAGGGAAATGCAAATCAAAACCACAATGAGTTATTACTGCACGCCTATTAAGTTGGATACAATGTTGGTGAGGGTGTGGAAAAACCATAACCCTTATGCCCTCTTTGTGGGATTAGTAAAAGGTAAGGGCGTGACCGAAGACAGTGTGGAGGCTCCTCAAAAAATCGAACAGAGAACTCCCATGTGATCAATCTAGCACCCCACTTCTGGGTAGGTATCCGAAAGAATTGAAAACAGAGACTCAAAGGTACTTGCACGCCAATGTTCACTGCAGCATTAGTCACAACAGTCAGGACCTGAAAGGCACCTAAGTTTACCAACTGATGAATGAATAGAGAAAATGTGCTACACACATACGATGGGATATCACTTAGCCTTAAAAAAGAAAGAAGGCTGCAACGTGGACGAATGTTGAGGACATTACGCTAAAAGAAATAAGCCAACCACTAAAAGACGAACACTGCATGATTCCACTTATATGACAGATCTGAAGTCATCAGACTTGTAGAAACAGAAAGCAGAATGGTGGTTTTTCAGGGGAATGGGGGGGTGGTGGTGGGTAACGGGGAGTGGTTCAATGGGTATGAAGTTTCAGTTGTACAAGGTGAAAAAGTTTCAGAGATCGGTCATACAACAACACACATACGCTTAACAATACTGTCCTGTTCTGTATGGTCCCTGCAAAACTTGTTAAGAGGATACAAAACATGTTACTAGTTTATGAAGTCCACAGCTGGGGATGCTCTGTCTTGCACTTATGATCTCAGCAGATGGGGGGGGTCTGCAAACCCCCCTGCAAACCTTACGAGGTAAGAAACAAAACAAAGCTACGGAACAAAGGTAAGAAGTCCCCAGCTGGGGACTGGGTTTGGTAGCTATTTCTTTCTATATCTGAAGCTCCAGTTTGAAAAAGCGTGTTAACAAAGTTAAGAAAGTGTGAAGAAGATCTGGTGTATTTCTATATACCAAGAGCAAGCATGATTAAAATGATACCATTTGCATCAGCATAAGAAATCAAATACTCTAATGAGCCCCATTGAACGACGTGCAGGACCTCTACACAGACACCTACAAGATATTAGTTACATACATTTTTAAAGATATCAGTAAATGGAGGGAGATACATGGTCACGAATTAGAAAATTAAGCAGTTTCAAGATGTCCATTCTCCCCTTGTTGGACTAAAGTTTCAAGTGAAATCTCAAGTTTCAAGAAAATCCCCAGCAAGATTTCCTTTGGTGGAAATTGACAAGCCAGTGCTCAAATTTATACAGAAATGCAAAGACCTGAGAAGAGTTTAGAGAATCAAAAATAACGTGGTATTGTTGCAAAGGAAAAAAACCCTTGCCAATGGAAAGGAATAGAGTCCAGAAATAGACTGGTGTTTATAGTCATTTGGTTTTCAAGAAAGGCACTACCAAAAAGTCACGGCGAAAGCATGATTAAAACAAACAAACAAAAAAGATGCTGGATCAATTGGATATTCACATGAGGAAAAATGAACCTTGACCTTCCACTTTATATCATACACAAAAACAAATCTAGATATTTTGTAGACCTACTGTCAGAGGTGAAACAATAAAACTTCCACAAGGAGACAGAGGATAATATTTTCATGACCTTAGGGTCGATGACACTTCCTAAACAGCACATAGAAAGCTCGAGCCACAAAGAAAAAGACTGATAAATTGAACCGCATTAAAATTAAGAATTTTTGGGGCGCCTGGGTGGCGCAGTCGGTTAAGCGTCCGACTTCAGCCAGGTCACGATCTCGCGGTCCGTGAGTTCGAGCCCCGCGTCGGGCTCTGGGCTGATGGCTCGGAGCCTGGAGCCTGTTTCCGATTCTGTGTCTCCCTCTGTCTCTGCCCCTCCCCCGTTCATGCTCTGTCTCTCTCTGTCTCAAAAATAAATAAACGTTAAAAAAAATTTATTTAAACACAACGATAAACAGCACAAAACTCCGTTTGGCAAGAAAGGTAAAGAGCTTAAAGAGACACTTCACCAAAGAAGACCTTCCAAATGGCCAAGAAGCATAGTAAAAGTTGCTTGAAATCATGACTCATCATGCAAATTTACATCTCTGTATGACACCACTACACGTCAACCCGGAAAGGCTAAAATGAGAAAGGCAGACACCGTGCCGCGTCTACGAAGGACGCAGGGTAACCCAAACTTCTCAACCTCCCCTCAGTCTTCCGGGGTGCGTCCCATTCGGCACGGCCACCCTGGGACGCTTCTGCTGAACAGAACCCCACTTCTAGACCGGGCATCGAAGAGAAACGTGTACACGCGCAGACGTGGGCCGGAGGGTCCCCGCAGCGGCATTCACAGCCTCCCCAAACTGGAAAGAACCCGAGCTTTGGTTACCCTGTGTCTTTCCCTCACTGACGCTTCAGGAATGGGATAGTGGAGGGTCACAGGTCAGCCGTCATCTCCAGCAGGGCCTCGGGCGGGGATTGGGGCTGGAAAGTGAAAGGTAGGTGAGGAGTGTGGTAAAAGCAAAGTGGCCCGTTTCCCAGAGGGACCGAGGAGAAACGAGGTGGGTGAAAAGGGACTCCCCAGCCATGCCAGAAACAAGAGCCAACGGGTAGCCAGATGGGGAAGTGTCAAGACTGAGGGACTTCCCGAAAGGGAACATAGGCGAAAGGGCTCCCAGCTTACCCCTGGTCTTCAAGGACTTCTGCCCACCTGCCCTCCGGCCGGCCTCCTCCCTGATCTCTCCAGCACCCAGCTGTGGCCCTCCCAACCACGTCCCCGTTGCAACTGGATCATTCGGTGGCTCCCCATTGCCCTTCAGGGAAGACCCCAAATTTCTTAGCGCAGCATTCAACACATTTCGGGATCTGCCCCCCCAACATTCGTTCCCTCTGGCCCCCCGCACCCATCCTGAGCTGCAGGTACCCCAGGCTCCCGACAGCTTCACCAACAGTCCCCCTGCATCTGGCTTCCACACCTCTGCACGAGTTCTTTCAGCCACCGGACCGTTCTACCCTCCGGGGCGGACTGACAGCCTCCTACTCAGTCTTCAAAATCCAGTTCACTTGTCACCTCCTCTGGCAGTCTCCCACCCCTCCAAAGAGTAGGAGTCACTCCTTCCTCTGGGGTCCCTCCCGCCACCAGGGCACCCTGCTCGGGGTGCTTTCACGGACGTTCGCAGCAACAGGCAGGCAAGGACCGTGTCCCTCTTGGCTACCGCTGAACCACGCCAGGGGTGAACCGGTGCCCGACACGCAGTGGAGGCTCAAAACACTTGTGACACGGGCGGCCACGTGAAACGGTAATGGGTTTGGAGGCCCACCCTCAGAGCTAAAACCTACATAGACCGCGCACTCCGAAATGAATTGCTGTTCTTTTCGACTCCACTCTCTTCAATGTGGTGCCTGGAACATCTTTACGTAGTCGGTAAGGGTAAAATCTCCAGTGCTCCCACTGTCCAGAACACTTTTCCTCGTGCTTCTCTGCTTCCTCATCCTCCGGTTTCAACTTCAGTGTCGCCTCCTCCGGGAGGCGATCGCCGCTGGCTGGTCTGGGTCTCCCCTGCAGTGCTCTGGGCCCCACATCCTTCTGTTTCCTTCTCCACGGTTGTAATGTTAGGGTCAGGTCAGTAAACGCTTCTGTTTTTGTGTTTATGACCTGTCTCTGTCCCGGAGCATAAGCCCCGCCCCCACCCCCGGAGGCTGGGAAATCATCTGTTTTGTTCACCAAAGAAAGTATCCTTAGTGCGCAGAACGGGGCCAGGAACTCAGTGGGTGCTCGACGAGTAGCTGAGGAGTTGGCAAACGAACGAAAGAGGGTACGAGTTGCCGTGTCCAGTTACGCGAGGAGCGAGGAGTGGGGCCGCAGGCAGCCCCTGAGACATCTGTTTCCCCATCAGCTTCATCACGGTCCCCAGGAACTTCCCTCCACCCTGAGCAACACCCTCAGCTCCCGGGGTCTGAGCAGTCACCACTGCTGTCATCGGATTAGTAACAAGGAACCTTCAGAGAGGGATGGCGGGGCACCCAGGGTCATACAGAAAGTTCTTAGCCAAGCAGAGCGCTCAGGCTGGGGGAGAAGCAGCCTGGTGGCCCTGGGGCACCCTGAGGCATATCCATTCCTTTCTCTGGGACTCAGTTTTCCTCATCCATAGAATGGGGCAGCGCCCTGGCCTGGCCGAGGTGGTGTGGGGCAGGCACACCGTAGGCGAGTGGGTAACGTCAGTTGTTTTTTCACAATTTTTGTGTGTGTGTGTGTGTGCCAGTGGCAAGGGGTGGGTTGTGGGTGTCTGAGGACAGATGTCCCAAGACCCTGGGGTCGTAGCTTAGGCAGTAGGAGCCGAACAGGAGGGGAAGGTCCCATCCCAACCTGTCAGTCTTCCTCTGTCTCCCAGCCGGGCCGGGATCCCGGTCCACGAAGCCTCTTTTAGCCTGAACGCTACTGCACAGCCTGGGCAACCGTTCACTCCAGCCGCCTTCCCGCCAGACCAGGAAGGAGAAAGAAGAGAGGTTTGCAGCTGCGGGGTGAGGGGTGGGGGCAGGGCTGGCAGCCTGCCTTCTGTCCGGCCCCCTGCTTGGCAGGCCCCCCCCACCTCCCCACCAGGCTGCCCTGGCCAAAGTAGGCTGAGTGTCACGGATTCGTACAGGAGAAGTTTGGCAGGCCCTAGTCCCAACGTACACCATCAAGCCCCCTTGCAGATGAGGAAATAGAGGCCCAGAGAGGCGCAGTGCCTTGCCTATGGTCACACAGCGAGGAAGGACTGGGGCCTGAGCAGGGAGCCAGGTTGGGGTATTTGCCCCACCTCTCTGGAGACACTTCAGGTGGCCGGACCCTTCCTGGGGGCTGTGGGGACCAGCAGGCGAGGCCCCTTGCTGCAGGTGTCCTGGCCATTGGGGGGCATCAGCAGGGCCCCTGCCTGCACCCTGGGGAATATTCTCAGGTTGTTTCAGAAGTTCCAAGTTTACTCAGATCCTGCATATGAGCTGTCATCAAAAGTCCCTTTGGCCAGGCGCCCAGGCAAGGAGTGGGGGCGGTGGCACCTGTGAGCCAGGGGTGGGGGTGGGGCTCCTCTCCGCTCCCCCCTCCCAGCCCCACCTCCGCATTTCGGGGTGCCCTAGAGAGCAAGGGAGAAGGGGGCGAGGAAGGGGTCTCTCCTCGAAGTGTCTGTTCCCCCCTCTCTCCCCAGTTTCCTTCCCTCTGCTTGCGAATGACTCCCTGGGTGACCCTGAAAACCCTACCCCTCTCTGAGCCTCAGTTTCCCCAGCTGTGCGAGGGAGCGTAAAATCACCATGCAAGCTATCGTTTATTGAGGGCTTAGTGCATGCCGGAAGGGACGCCGTGCGGTCTAGCGAATAACAAGGCAATTATTACCAGCCATCCCTAAGGTAAAGCGTAATTACTACTATTTCTTGTGAACCACTGCTCAGGGCGCTGGCCCTGTCTCCGCCACTGAATCCCCAGGACCTAGGACAGTGCCTGATGCCCCAGTGGGTGCTCAAAAACTACACATAGAATAAAACCTCACGACAAACCGGAAATGGATGTTAGAGACGGGGAAACGGAGGTTCAAGGGAGGTGAAGTGGTTTACTCAAGGTCACCCCAGAACTAGGGGGCGGAGCTGGGTCTCCACCCAGTCCTGGCCGCCTCCAAGGCCCCGGATCGCCCGTGGAGGTGTGTTGGCACGTGGGTCATGGGTCCCACAGCCCCCCACCTGACCACAGGGGGGACCTCCCAGCCATCACTCCTGCCTGCAGGGATTCTGAAGGCACTGGCTCTCCGCCCTGCGTGGAGGATGCCTTCTTCCCTTCATTCATTTATTTATCAGGCACCAGGGAGGGAAATGGCGCCTCCCCAAGCTTCTGGTCCCTTCCCTCTTTCCATCTCCTCTTGAACGGGCCTCCTCCACCTGCCCGCCCCCCCCCCCCCCCCCCCCCCCCCCCCTCACGGGACGGGGGGGGGCCTAGGGCTCAGGCTTTGTCTTGTTCACCCCACGCCTCCGGGCCCTCGATTTTGTTCTTCTCCTAACACTCGGGTGCTTGGTTTCCTCCACTGCGGGGTGGTAAGGATCCAGACACCCTCCCAGGTGTGAGGTGGGCAGGACCAGGGCTCCCTCGAGTCCACCATGGGGAGCAGGTCATCAGGCCTGCCCCTCCCCTTCTCAGAAGGGTTCTCGAGACTATGAGTCTTGTTTTTATGCCATCCTGTCTGGCAGGTGTGGCCCTGCGGCCAAGCGGACCGGCGGCCCAAACCCAGCTCTGCGTCTCACGGCCACGTGGTCCTGGGGTCCCCGATCTCCTCATCTGTGAAATGGGCTGAAGGGGCTCCCGGCCTCACCTGATGTTGTAAGGATAACGGGAGCCCCTCGAGTGCCAGCGGCGGGCTGAGCCCCGGCGCTCAGAGGACCAGAACCGCGGGGGCTGAGGCAAGCCGATCGCGGGTTCTCAAATGTGCCCCCCGCACCTTCCACCGCTCTTGGACCCTGGCCCTCCTCTGCCACTGGCCCCCCTTCCAGGTGGAACAAGCTGTCTTCCTGGGCGGATCTCCAACCGGCAACTTTCATATTTTTATGCCCCCCAATCTTCACAACTAGCCCCACGGGGATGGAGCTGCCTTCATCCCCATTTTAGAGATGAGAAAACTGAGGCTCCATGAGGTTGGAAGAAACACAGAGACTTGCTCAAGTTCACCCAGCTAGGGAGTCGCATGGCCGGCTTTTGAACCCGCCAGGTTTTCCCCATTCGGCCATGTGCTTCTAAACCCATGCTTTCCCCCCCCCCCCCCCCCGGGGGAATACAAATGTCCTCAGGGGAGCAGCCTGTGACTTTTGAATGCCCCTGGCCCCGGGGCCGCTGCTCCCACTGCGCAGGCTGGCCGTTCCTTCTCGAAGTCCAGGGTTCCCACCAGAGGCCTCTCCCCACCCAGCTGCTCTGCCGGGAAGGTGTCCGCCTCCTCCTTCTTTCCTCTCCTGTCCACATGTCAAACTTCAACCCATGCCTCCAGACTCAGCCTCCCCGCGCCTCCCGGCTTCCCTCTCTTCCACGCACACAGGGCCCTTGGCTTTTCACCATCCGCCCATCCCCTGTGCTTTGGTGAGAAGGAGACAGCGTGGAGGACAGGGCCAGCCTCCGAGTCACCTGCCCGCCCTGCTCCGCGCTCTTGAGTCTCCTTGGGAAAATCGCTCTACCCCTGGAGCCCCTGTTCTCTGTCTGTGAAATGGGCACAGAAATCCGTGTGGAGGGGTTACAGGACACAAAGACGCTAAAACCCAGAATCTGCCCCCAAAATCGATGCCCCTCCCCAGAGTGGGCCCCGTAGAAATGCCACACCATCACGCCGTCACCCCCGTGCCCACCCCTGCCCTCCTGGGCTGCCGGGAACCGCGGTGACTGTGGCATCCCGTTTGGTCTGGGACCGGCTTTCCTCCCGCAGCCCCGGCCTTTTGGAGCTGGTTTCCACAGACAGCTCATGGGGTCATCTCAGCCGTGTCCCAGCCTCCAGACCTCCAGGCCTCCTGCAGACGCACAAAAAGGCACTTTGGGCGTCCTGGGCTGGGCTGAACAGGAGACTCCAGCCCCAGCTCTGCCGGCCTCACTGTCCCCAGCTGTGAGGAGGGTGCAAAACCCCTCTGTGTCCTCCCACCTCGGGCAGAGAAGGCGCCAGACCCCCCGCAGAGAACAGTGGCTGGAGGTGAGTTACCTGCTGTCCTAGCTTCTCCCTCAGGAATCCATTCTGTGTGCTCGGGGGCAGGGGAATCCAGTGGCCTTCCAGGGGTGGGGGCGCGGGACAGGAGTCAGAGGGAGCAGGCAGGTGTAGGGGGTGGGGATCCACAGCCTGTCCTGAGTCACCAGCCAGACAAGCCTACGACCTGTCACCGGGACGGATGGCCCCGGGCCCTAGGCAGGCAGGGCACACAGAGAGAGCCAGCCGGGGTCACAGGCAGTGGTCGGTCACATCCCAGGGAGGTCACACACAGACAGAGGACAGAGATCGACTGCACCAGGGAGAGACCCACAGCAGACCAGGGCTGGTCAGACAGGCAGAAGAACAGACAGGGGAAGGGAAGTCGAGCAGACAGGCAGGTGGCCAGCGGGGCAGACGCAAAGAGAGACAGGCAGGCAGGCAGGCAGGCAGCCGTGTGGCTGTCGGTCACACTCAGGGAGGAGCAAACAGTCGGCCCCGGAGCCCATGGGTCACTCGGCAGAGCCCCAGGGGTCTGTCAGAGCGCGGCTGCTGCCCTGCCGCGTGCACAGGGTGGGGAGGCAGGGGAGGATGTGGCGAGCAGCAGCTCTCCCCGCAGGCCCTGCCCACAGAGCAGCTGGCCCCTCCCTGAGGGAGTGAGAAAGAGGTGGGAGGGGGCCGGGCCCCTGGCAGAGCCCTCGCTCACCAAAGGTCACCTGCTAGGAAGACATTTGGGGCCACCAGGGTGATGGTGCCTCTTGCGGATGGATGGTGT